AGGATACTGATCAAGCAATTACGGATGTAGACGACATAGATGATAGTGAGGAAAGTCCTGTTATTAGCGCTAGCACGGCAATCGCTAGCTTGGAAATAGTACATGCCTTTCTTTTACAACAGGACAATGCGGAAAAATATATACCTCTTTACAAAATATTGAGAAGTCAGGAAAACAAGCTCAATGCGTCAAACTAACATTGACACATATTTTTCTTAAAGTGTAGTCTGACTTCGATAAGATAATAAAGAGAAAGTACTAGTCACTATTATGTGTAACAGTTTTCTGGTTTCTATTCGTTGTTCTATAAGTGCACACCCTCCCTAAGTGTCAAGTCCCAAGAGCGTGCACTTATAGAGGTGTCTCTGTATATAGTTCGATGAAGTGGCGATATATTGATGTTACACATGCGAAAATCATAGGTGTAACATTGATATCGAACTGTGACTTCGAGCGATAACGAGACTGAATATATCACTATTATATATGTTGTATGTAAATCCCGTCCAGGGTCCCCAAAACCGCACTTACATAGTGACGGGATTTACATACAGCATATTAATATATATTTGAAAAATACAATCGATTAGCTTTCAAAAGTTATAGTAAATACGTACAAGAGAGATTTCGAAAGAAAAGATTTTACTAGGGGCAGTTAAGTTATACGTCAACATCTGCATTACCAACGCTTTTTTTCTTTTGGAAGCAAACATTGCTTGAATGGCTGTAGCATCAATGTGTGATAATTTTGACCAGTTAGCCTCTCTTTTTTTTAGGATAGTACTAACATTAACAGTCAAGTAGATAAGAAATTTTAGCTATTTTTCAGAGTTTTTGTCCATGTATGCCTTCGTAAATTACTATTGCTGTACGAAAATATATTGATACTGCATGGTAACCTTATGTTTGGGGTAATACCTTTCTATTTTTTCTGTATATTATTGGCAATGTAAGAGAAAGCATTTACATTTATGCAACCAGTCTTACTTTTAAATATTCAACATTCTGTAATGTAAGTATTCCCAATAATATACACTCAGTATGCAATTAAGAAACGTTATCTGTCAGTATTTGAAAACGTTTTTAGCAAATTACGCCTTTTTCTTTTTGAATTCGTTGCAAAAGCTACAGTGATAATTAATTGAAAGTAATAAAATATTTTTATCCCTACTTTTTTATATTATTTAATTGGTATGGTATACAAACTTGACGATATAGTTGTTAGTTATCCTATAAGTCAATGTTTATTACAAAATAAAAATATGCAATTTATCCAGATACGAAAAATTTGTTCTATTAATAGGTGAACTGTTAACACTCAACGCCACATGTACTTAAATAATTGTCTTTGCCTTCTTTAACCAAGTAAATAACAAGTTGCACATATATATACTAAAAACTTTCCATAAATGCCTGTTAGTATTAGAAGATTACTGGTCGCTTTCAAATATTTATTCTATGAAGAACTAGAGTCATATTATATACAATCTCTTGGCAGTAGTTACATAAATAGCAAACTTTGGTCAACAGAACAAGTACTTCATTTTCAATAACACGAAAAAGTGGTTTATGTACAAATGGGCTATAATATTTAAAGTTTACTTTGTGTTAATATTAACAGTAGATAAGGAGATGTTCATATCTGAACAAGTGCAGGCCAGTCTAGAATTGACACGGCTTGGATATTTTTACATAATTGCGATACTTTGTAACGTTGATGGAAGCCTCCTGATTACTTAACAAACTCTATTCTGTAATCAATACCTTGTCTAACAAAACTAGTTTATATTATTCTTCCTGCAGCGCAATAATAATGGGTATCCATTACGGAAAAAATCAAGGAGCGGTTTTTGTATTGTGTCTTTCTTACCACTTTTGTAGAAGCTTATTGACAAAGAAAACTAGAAAAACTGGTTTAGTATTAGGCGTACCATGACAAATTGGTGGTAATAGGACAATATCTTGACCAATACAATCTTTCTGCAAATCTAATAATAACAATTCCATGTTGTAATGGTTTTGTTGGGGGGTTTTTTTTACATTCTACCTTCTTGTTATAGTATGGTCTATAAACCAAAGGTTGTTCTCAAACATTCTTCAAACCAATTGTCACGTATTAGTATGTAGTGACACAATGCCTTAATTCGGTATATGCCTCAACAAACGAGTGGCCCAACGTGGCTACATTCGACAGGGTTAGCACAAACCATTCGACTTGTAACTAGTGATTAGATGGTTGAATGTACTCGATTACGAAAGGTGTTCGAACATTTGTCGGTATTGAATTGGTGATATATAATTATATTACTTACTGGTTATGTTTACAATGTTAGTAACACTACAATACAGTAAGATGGTAAACGTAAAATTTTTTTCGATTGTGAAACTTGCACACAATCTCAAGTGATTATCTTCTTCGTATATAATTGATGAGTGGCGAGGTTAATAACACAGTCTATGTTCGTATGTGTAACAGGGGGTCTTTGATAGCTTTTTCTTCTTGGTTTATTATGATTATAAATGTCGTCAAATGTTCACAAAGGAAAATGGCAAGAGTAAAACGTTACGTTTCATCCATTCCGATCACATTTTACAATATTGGTAATTCTGCACAACGTGCATTCTCACAGCGTCAAAGTTAAAATTTAAAAAAAGAATTAGCTCTGCCTCGCTAGTTATTGTGCTTGCTAGTACAATAACGAAAAGGTTTGCGTTTAATATTGTTTTGCATATAGGAAACGAAATACGTTGTAAGCGGTAATACAATAATGTTGGAGGAATTTTTATTGTCTAGCTATTTACATAAGTACAATGGTTATGTGTTACTTGAGTAACATTAACCTTTTGCCACAATTGGTTACCATACGATATACGATCTTCAGCTTACTGCGTTTATATTCTCTGTTAGCAATTACCACATTTTAATATACAGAACAAATGCAATAGTTTGAACATGGAGTGCTGATAAATTCGGCTTTGTATGTGGTAAAAAAACTATATTTATCCAAAATTGTACTGGGTTTGAAAGATAACGCCCATGAAACGTGCAGTCTGTTCATTCGTCAACTTTCATCATTGTTTGCAGCTGTCATGTTTTAGTTTGGTTAATGAAGCTTAGTCTTAATCGATTTATTTCAATAAAGGCCTGTCACAGAAATGATTATCAAAAGAAGTGCCTATAATTATCTATCGACAAGGGGCCAATGCCTTTTAAAGACGTGCATGCTTATCGCAATGCTTACTTCGCGGATTAATAAACGCCACAAGACGATTTGCAAGGACAATTAAGTCTGCAACTCATATGCATTTCCTTGACAATTTTAGCAAATGCAAATGTGCTCTACGGCGGAGTTGGCCGAACAGACCCGACTACAATCGAATATATCGATTTTAACAAAGACATTCAGTGATAAAGGGTATCATAATATTTATCGACTAAAACCTACACGTTCAATAGACAAAAACAATATGTCACTTCCTTCCACGCTTAATCTTTTTTGTTGTAGTTCAGAGTATATCGATCGATTGCTTATAGTGGAAAAGGGCATTAGGGATGTATGCTATATGCAACCTCAAACTATATGTCAAACTCTGTCTGTCAGCAATCGTTATCCTGGTATCACAACTAGCTATTTATCTAATGTTTATTTATAATAATAATTTAATACAAAATTACAACAGGTTAATTGAGTAAAATGTTATGTATACATTGTAAATGTTGTATTATATGTGTGTGTGGAAAAGTTAGTATTAGGAGCATAGGAAATAATTTGTCGAAAAAATTGCCTGCTTTCTCTTTTGGGTACTCATCAGCCTTTTTCATTTTTGAGAATCCCATCTCTCTCACTGAATTCAAACTTTTCATCAAGACAAAGCAACGCATAATATTCAGATAAGCAATCAAGCTCGTTTCCATACTCAACAGTTGGATATGAACTAGTAACTTCGTAATTGCTACAATTGTTATGTGTTAACGGTATCAACGGTATTGGTACAATCACCGGGGGCGAGTTCCAAAGCCATTCTTGGGCACAGGGAAACAATATTGGACCTTCGTAAAATTCGAAATAATCGTGCAACTGTTGAATGTCAGGTTGGTGATCGGGTAACCTTCTATCAGCATCTGGTGGAGTGGAAGGGTCGATGGTATATTCATTGTTTAAATGTTGTGCTGAAGGAAGTATTTCGGTGTAAATGTTATTACTAGTACAATTTAAATCTAATTCAGGTTGGTTATCGGGTAACGCAACTGATGGAGTGGAAGGACAAGGGTCGGTGGTATCTTTCTTGCCTAAATGTTGTGCCGAAGGAAGTATTTTGGCGCTTGCAGGAGAAGAAAAGCCTTTCAATTTTTTTTGACGCTTTCGCGGAATAAACAGTTTGAATTCCCATTTAGGAGGCTTTTCGTCTGCAAGCTTCTTATATATATCCGTGTAGTGCTCTTTAAGAACCGCATCGGCCATTTCCCAAAATACGCAAGCCAGAGCTGCAGCTTTTCCAGCAGAAGATTTGAGTAAACGTTGAAAATCACTTCTGAACAGGACAAAGGCATTTGGCGCTCTCTTGTAGTTAGTACGAGTACGCAACTATAAT